CGCATCGGAGGAGTCTTCGGTTTTGGACGTCCTTCGTCGCGGCGCTGTGACGTGTGCAGCCGAGGAATTCGGCCTTCGGAGGACCCGGCCTGCCGTTTTGGACATAACCAAAGAAGACCTCCACACAGCATCAAAAATAGGAATAAAGCTCCCTCCTCTGCTCTGGAGCTTGTATCATAGAAAGTGTCCTACAGCTGTTTCCAGCAGCTGAAGTGGAGACAACAAGCAGCTGCAGCGGGTCATGAGATGGATCAGCGGACCATCACCTCTCCACTGCCAAATCTGGATGAGGTCTACTTGAACCACCTCCTCCGGTGGTCCACAAAAATCCACAATGACTCCACCCACCCAGGACACTCCCCTGTGGCAGGTTCAGAACCATGTGAGTCTGCACCAACAGACTGTAACAGGTTCTGCCTTAGAGCTTTGCAGAGTCTGCCAGTCCTCAATCCACAGCAGCTGCAAACAGTTTCAGAGAGGCAAACAGTAGCTATGTTTATATGCACAAAATTCTTTGATCGGATTGAAATGTATTCAGATTAAATAATCGGAATGTATTGTTTACATGGGCACAATCCGATCATGGCGAGTGTTTACATGCACATGGTTTTTATTCTGAATAAAAGCACTGACATGCACAGTTGTTAACTTTCTAAAACTAAAAAGTTTTACTTCTGTCATGAACATAAACAAACAGCTTCTGAGCACAGGATGGACCTGCGACAGGTTTTAATAATGGTGGAGACGTTACTGCACTCTCTGGTACAGATGGAGGTGCAGAACAAACTTTTTTTTTTTTCTGCAAAGCGGTGCAGGCTGTGTCTCTTCCTTCTTTATAAGAGAAAGGGAGGAAAACTTCTGTGCTGCTGGAAACTGCTGCATGTAAGTCAGCAGACCTGCACAGTCAGGTCAGTTCTCCACACTCAGAATAAGATGATCAGATTAAGTGTTTACATGCACGCTGTTCAGATTATCAATCGGCATAAACCACCTCTCTCATTCCGATTACAAATTCATTCGGATCGAGCTGAATCTGGTCAGAATAATCCAAATGGGGTGTTTACATGACTCATTTTTATTCCGAATGGCTGCTTAATCCGATTACTTATGTCCATGTAAACGTAGCTATTAACAATAAAACTTTAGATGAATACTCTAAACAATAACTTCTGCAATGTGTAACACTTTTGGCTTCTTTTATTGAGCAGAAAGAGACAGAACAAAATATAGAAAGAAAGGGAACTAAAGAGAGAATGCAGAAGAACCAAGACTTGGACTGACTCACTCTTTCTGCCAGTTCTGCAGCCGTTGTGTTTGGGTCGTATGGAATGGGATCACCGAGGAAGGTTCGAAACTTTACTGGAAATCCTCCATAAACAGGAGCTATAGGGAGACGAAACCGTTCATACAGCCAACGAAAGAGTCCTGAACAAAGACAAAACACACACCTAGATGAAATAAAGTCAATTATTTTTATTTTAAGTGTGCAAAAAATACAGGAAAAATCTGTCTATACGAAAATCAATAAAGTCAATTCTCTATTTATTTCGCACCAAAATCAAATATTGCTAAAAATTTCAAACTTAATTTTCTCGGCCTGAAAGTTGCCCAGCTGTCATGAGGAAACTGCACTTAATACAGAAACAAACAATAAAAAAAACATAAAACTATTTATAATTTTTAAAGGCACAGTGTGTAKGATTTGTTGTTTTCAGCGACATCTAGTGGTTGAGTGGTTGAATCATCCTCCCTGGTCCTCCCCCCACCCCCACCCCCCGCTTCCAAACGCAAAGGAGTTGCTACGGTGTCTCTCAGGTGTCAAAAACCTTTGATAATTCCAACCGCGATGTCTACCAGCAGCTTCAGGGCTAGTGATGTTTCAAGTGGTAAGATTATGAGCTTTAATAAGTAAAATTATCCCAGCTACAATGACAGACAACAAATATTACATTTATAGTWTTACAACTAAAACCGTTTTTGATGCCGCCACCGCAGTTTGTCCTTCATGAGCCTTCGTAGACAAGATGGTGGCTGCCTGTAGTGACGACCCGCGACCATGGAGATATAAACAGCTTTTTATAAGGTAAAAATAATAAAACAAGGTCTTTGTCTGCAATGATTAGACATGTTGACAAACCCAGACATGTTTATTATTGTCATTGGTGATTACCTCGATTTCAGCTAAAATAATTGACAAAATCCTACACACTGCGCCTTTAAAGTAATACACTTGGGGCCGGATAAAACATTAAGGAGGGCCAGATTTGGCCCGCGGGCCTCCGATTTGACACATGTGCCTTAGGGGCTCTAAATACCAGCAAATACAGTATCTGTGTGAATTTTTAAATGTGTTTTTTCTTCCTGTTAATCAGGAATATGTCAGAGTTTTTCATCTGTTTAAAGACAGATACAAAGAGAAGCATGCGCTCCTAACTGTGCTGCCAAACAAAGGTTTCTCTGCTCACAGCTCAAACAGGACGCATTTGTTTACACCTACTTAGTGTTCCCAGAGATCTGAAGCCTTCCCGCACATTCTGAGTAAACATTGGAATTACAGGCTGAAAGAGAAAAAGAGAGTGAACATGAATACCTGACACTGTATCATGAATCAAGTCCATCATTAAATCATTCCTTGCTCTTGTAGTGGTCACCCTGAGGGGGAATAAACAGTTCCAAGATAATAAACAAAATAATGATGTTCTTTATATTTTTGATTCATATTTTTTGTGAACTAAGAGTTACTGTAATTTGATAAATCAAGAAATTATATCAAAGTTACAAAATGAAAATAATGGCAACTTATCTTCTTGCATTATAATTTAGAAAAGAAAAAATTGTTTTATGCAATTCCTTGTTTTAATCAACTTCTTAGACAGTAAGTTGATTATGTGTTTTTCTGTTTTTATTTCTTCTTTAACTAAATTGATCATTATGGTTGAGTTCACTATGTTTTCATTATGAAATGTATATAGTTATTTGTGCTTGGATCTTAGGCAAATATCTTGTTTTATTTTTATTTAAATAATTCACTTCTATGTCATTAAAACCTAGTTCCTTGTCTTTTAGTATTTGTCCTGCCAAAGAACTGAGAACAGCACGGCCCGACCATGATTCTTTGTGTTAATGTGCAGACATTCACCATTTTGTTTACCAGACCAATGGCAATGGCAAATTCTTAGACTAAACCTTCTGATACACCTGTTTACTAACACAAAAGTTGAGGGCGCGTCCTTAGTGACTTCTTTTGTAGTAACTAACCCCGGGACAAGCCGCTCCACAGTCAAACACCATATTTGTCCCAAAAAGAGAAGCAGTTTTTTCCTCTCCAGGAAAATCAGTGTTTGGTGATCAGATCTGAGCTCAGGCGCCAATGATCAGGGGTTGGATTTATAAAACTTGCGTACGCACAAAATGAGCCCAGAAACCTGCATACGCCACTTTCCACACAAAGGTTGTGATTTATAAAATCCAAACTTGATGTGAAAATGTGCGGTGCCTCACGCCAGCTCTGACCCATGCGTACGCTCATTTTGGAGACGGGAAGCTGTGACACAGATGGTGAAGTGA